TTCGGCGAGCCCGGCCCGCGCCGCGCCGCATCCGCTTGCATTCGGAATAATTTCGACGACGCCGCCGGGACACAAATCTCGGCCGCCGAAAACGGTCGTGCTCTCCCCAAGTTATTTATCGGAGAATCGTAGATTATCGTCTATGCGGAGACCATTGTCCCTGGCGGAGGAATTTGCCGTGTTATTATTGACTCGAGTTTATCGTTCGCGCTCCTCGAGTATGGCCAGTTTTTGGTTCGCGGTTTGGTAACATAATCCGGAGCATGGAAAGTCGTTAGCTAATTAAGCGGCTTTTATATGAAGAGATGGGAAGTGTATCTACGTCAGAAAGAGAGAAAGACAAATGAGACGCTAAAAGATTTCTCTATTAGGGAGAAGAACTGCCCCCCCCCGCTACTTGATTCTATCGAAGTAGCTTTTTCTCTTTTTCTCACGAGCTTCATTTGTGTGTAATGGTTACCGCTTAATATCAATTTCATATTGCCAGTGTCGATAATTTTATATTCCGTGACCTAAATCAGTCGCTCGAAAAAAGATTTTATCTCGGGGCATAATAAAATATTGTCACTCACACGCTTATCGCAGCGGGCGGCGCGGCGGTAAAATAAAGCTGGTATTCACGAGGCGGCTAACGATGAGCATTTTTATGTCGCCAATGCGCTGATCGCGACTGAGTTACCCACTTCCGTTATCGCGCAGTTGCTCTAATCTCTATTACCATTATCCGTATAACGAATCGAGTGTATGGCTGGCATCCCATAACCCAGTACGTAAACCCCGCTCGTCATTCCGGCGATGCGGGAAATTATTCAGGGATATCAGGGCACTCTACCGAGAGAATGACGTCGCGCGCCGCTCCGCGACTTCTTCTGCAGCTCGTAAAGATATGGAACGCAATTCCCTTCATTTTGCATGGCCCAATAAATCGCGATTTGTGCCATGCGCTTTATCCAGTTTTCGCGGCGGCACACCTAAACTACCATCTCGTGAGTAATCCAAGTAGATAAACGATAAGAAATAGTCGCTGTTTCTCATCATTCGTCTTAAGATTAACCCCGGATTAACCATAAAACGATCATTTAGATACCTATTCCGTAAAAGTTGCCCTAGATTTTGCGCACGCAACTTTTAACGATGATTATTTTATTTATATGGCACATTAAAAATAATTAAGTCAAAGAAACCGTGTTCGGATATCTCGAGTTTATGTACAGGTTCTCTAAAAAAATATGACGTTTCATGATCGTTCGCATCAAAATTGTCGACAAGGTTGTCCGTTCATTCGAGCGTCGTATCTGATGAAATTACGAAGTTATGACTGTAACGCTTGAATTAAGAATTTCACGGAGATTACATCGTTGATATCGAAAGACATGCGGTATGAAATACTAGCCGCCTTCGGTTATGTGACCGCGAGAGGGGTCCCTTCTCGACCGAAAAAGATTTCAGCGCGTCGAAACCGGTTTGAATAAATACACATCACCGGCACGATTTCCCTATAATTTACAACGAAATTATAAATTTATCTATATAGCCATTGCCTGTCTTCGTACAATGACTGAAATATTGTTGGGAGAAACGACAAAGGATAACTGTTTCTGTTTCTGTCTTATTCTTTGCTGCTATCACGATCAATATTTCAAAGTTGCTCATTATAACAATATAGGCAATTCATCATCTTAATCAATTTTACGAGTCATTAAAATAATCAACGGTCCATATAACTATATTTCCGTTTTAATTTCAGAGTGATAACATTGATTAGTGATATGAGAAAAATACATATATATTTACACATATATTTATCTATATAAATATATTTTTTAAATATCTGTAGCAAGATATCTCGTTTTTTATAGTTTCTCTTGGACAATTAGAGTTTATCGTCGCGTGTTTCACAAGCGCAGTGTTCCATTAATCGCACATTTGAAGGCTCGCTGTCCAGCACGAAATTCGCGCGATGAGGTTACAAATACATGTGTATGTCGCAATCACGCATGTGACGTGCAATCAACCGGTTAACTCGCTACGAATTACACACACCGGCCGTCGTAAATAATGTCGCGTGCGAATCTTGGTGTTAAAGCGTCTAACGAGGCTGCTGTCACGAATTAAATCAAACATAGTACACCTGGCGAAATGTAACGGCGATGTCCTAACACTTGCAAGCAATGTTAAGTAATAGAGAGAGAGAGAGAGAGAGAGAGAGAGAGAGAGTCTTTCTTAAATTTCAATTTATTATCAAGATGCCATCATTTTTTCGGTATTAAATATTTTAGATGAAAGTTGAAATTACAAATTTTTCTGAAGAAGAGGTAATTTAAAGAAGTAAAGTTTTGTGTCATTTTATTACATATAAAAACTTATATATTCTTAATTCTTATACATATTATTTATAATTTAAAATAATTCTTGACATCTGTAATAAGAAAATTGATTACAAATTAATAAAAAAGCTGTCTTTAAAATTAAATCAAAATTACTAAAATGCTTTGAAAATAAATACAAGCTTGCTAATTTTCGAAATTCAAGTTTTTGAATTTAATTTTCATAGCCTCTTTTGTCTTTCGAATTGCAAAAGTCTGCTCGATGGGACAACTTTATCTCGCCAAAACCAGGAGAGCAGAACTCGAAAGGGCCTCGGGAACGAATGAGCAACCGGTACGACGATTCGTCCTAATGCTGGCGCCAGCGGAAACTCATTATGATGAGAGCCAAAAGTCGTCGACGATACGACACATCCGCCAGCGACGAAGGACGATGCTGCAGGCAGAGAGCATCATGAAGAAACATCAGCGAGCGGAAGTGCCTCTCGCGTAGACGCTCGGTATCCGCGCAATACGGCGTCATCGTCCTCAAACGACACGGCAACCCCTGATCCTCCCTACTCGCAAAATGATATTCCGCTTCCCCGTACCTATGTAACGTGCTGCTGCAACTGCCGCGATAGTCAAACTCCCGCATCCTTCGGCAAGGATATAACATGTCTGCAGACAGACACGTATATGCAGGTATATCTTAACCATATACGTCTCAAGTTTAAACACGATCCCGATGGATAATGTTGTTAGATAAATGTCGACAGTGTTATTCAATAAATAATATCAGAATACTATTTGACTAATAGATTTGAGATTAAAAGTACTTCAAGTATACGCGAGAGTTAATTAAAAGAGAAAAAGACTACTTAGTATAAATTAAGTGAAAAGCCTCAGTAGTATCATATTTTCTCAAATTTAATAAAAGGTTTCATAAAAAAGATCTCGCTCTGAAAAGGGGTTAATCTGGGCGACTCATCTTCCCTAAGCGACCACTTTTCGCGCCGTGGTTCCTTCCATAATTTCGTCCCTTTTAATTAAACAGATTCGCAAGGTGTCACGATCCGTCGCTAATGAACCGCGTGAAAATAAAGCTGGTATTAAACGCGAATGACCACGTGTGGAAGACCTCGCGAGAGTTGTAACGCCGCGTGTGTACCTGCCACTTTCGCGTATACCGTGCGTGTGCGCGAAAAACATCGTATACGCGCCGTGGGCCAAACCAGTCGAGTACCTTAATGAGGGAGATGCTCGTATTTATATATACGTGCGTGTGTGCATCTCGGCGAGCGCGCGGTTGTGTGGTGATGATGGTGTGGTGCGGGCAGCACGCATACCGCGGGAACAGGTACGTGCCCCCATGTGGGGGCACACGGCCGGGGCGCCCACGGAGAACCAGCCGCATTCTCTCGTGAGTACCTGAGAACTTTTCGTTTAGCGTCTTGAACTCTTCAAAAGACTCCGCCGCTTTCATCATCGCCAGTTGAGAATTTGAAACTGATTTACGATCTACGCAAATGACACGCGCGTTGACTTTAACGATTCTTTCATTCATTTCTAAAACGGTCTCGCATGTAAACGAGATTTCCCATTTTAATAATTGACAAGTTGAATAAAAGCATAAATCGCTAGGATTATAACTAATTTAGGAAGATACACACACTTAGATTGCAGAGATAGTAATAAAAGAGAAGAATAAATCTCTCTTTACATTTTGTGCACATAATTTTACTCGATAAATTTGTCCGATTTCCTTTCTCTTATAATATAGTATAATTTTCAGTATAATTTTGCTTCATGAGAAATTTACTGAATGGAGAAATTATAGCGCGCGCGTTACATATTATTAATCCGTCTAAACTTCGTAATACCGATTGAGATAGTGCAAAGTGTTCGCATACACTTCAGGCTCTACCTCTTCCGTTAATGCGCGTATCTCTCACGTGCAATAATACGAGTTACGGAATTCACGCGAATTCACGCAGCAACATAGAAAAAGAATAGTTATACCCACCGTAATAAATCAACGTTGCGATAACGCGTCGGAATGCTTCTGTTTCTCGTCGCGTCGTTAAAATAGCTGTGATTTCGAAGATTAAATTTTCAGCTGCATAAATCGGATGTAAACTGTGTGTCTAAATTATATTTCTAATTAACGTTCGAGTTGTTAATTTAGTTTATCTCATAAAAGATCTCCGGTTTTCAGACATAGTTTAAATCTTGATTCACAAACTATAAAATAGTGTCTTATTATTTAAGATTTAAGATTAATTCATAAGATCTTTACTAATCTGTGTGTAACCTTTCTGTAACTTATAAAGCACTAAAGTAAAGTAATAACTCTCTGTAACCTGTTAAGTAATTTTTATAAATTTGTACACTGTTTCCAAACGCAAGAAATTAACATTCCAGAATTTACAGCGTTCAATACAATGTGTACTTTCGGATATTACTCATTTAAACTTTTGGAAAGCTCATTAAATTCCGGCATCAATGCAAAACTGTCGAATACAGTTCAAACATCCTTTTAGCCGTGTATTATTCACGAATCGATAATGGCATTTTCGCCATGAACCCTGCCTTATGCCGTCCCTGGTCGTTGTCCCTCGATCAAGATCCTGATCCATGCCGGCCAGTCTTGCCGCGCCAGCGCGATCGAGAGGATCGATGCTGCATAGTTCCAGCGCATCGGCGCTCCGATTCGAGAAATCGAGTACATAGTGATCCTCAATAGAATTAACCGAGATCAATAACGAAGTGGATTCATCAGTGATGCGTGTCTCCATTTGTGCAATTACTTGCCGGATGTGTCACGTGGATCCGCTGCGATCTGCCGGAGGTTCTCGGATTAATAAATTCGCTACCGCGGCCGAATTAATTCGTTTTTCCCAAAGGAATTGAACCCCTCGGGCGATATTTTTTCATTTTTCCCATCGTACATCTCTACGCCAAGAATCTATCAAACGGTTCGGTGCTTACAATTTCATTATCGCGCGCTGAATCATTTGGGTGTATTTTTGGAGCAGTGACGAAGTGTATATATAAAGCTTTCTTGTCCGCGTCATTAATTCGAGATTAAATTAATGAGCGCCGATTAAGGGCTTCCTCTTCTTCTCGCGAGATCACGGCTCACATTGCTTTGAACGACGGCTTATTACGCTCGATTTAGATTCCAATTGACCGCGTAACTCGCACGTATCTGTACGATACTTCGTTAAATGTAACACTCGAATTCTTTCGACTTATCTCCGCGCAGAAGATAAACAGCCCGAAGTCAAACGAAGCAAAATCCGCTAATTACATGGGTTGATTCATACACAGTGCCCTGACAAGTGATTCATATAACTTCTTTCCGTTCGGCTACGAAATCTTTTCATAAATGTCAATCAAGTAATTTTTTATCTATACACCATATATCGGGCTTTATCAATTCCGTAGATCATCTCGGATTACAAAAAACAAATGCGACTCTCTGAAATAATTAATGGCATCAATAAAAATAGTTAAAAAACCGAGCGGACTCTCGAGATCTACGATATCTTCAATCCTTTAATTTTTTTCGATTAATCTCGCACAATGGCGAGAGAAAGGCGGAACGTTGAATGGCGCGCGGCGCTTTTTATTCGTCGTTCCGTTAATATGTTAATTCAATTTATCTCGCGGCATGCAACGCGCCCCATTCATCTCTGTCTATCGCTCGATGTTTACATCCGTGTTCATTTCCCTCAACATTCCCTCGTTCTTCCGCCGCGCGTTAGTTTTTCCCGCGGCTTTTCCCGCTCGCAAAATTGCATCCTCGCATACATCAGCGCGGCTGTCATGCCTTTCCGACATCGTGACTTTTTCAGATCAGAACAATAATATAATTATTATTCCTTCGATCCTGGGCTCCGGAATTGTGTTGGCGGTTAGCTTTCGAAAGTTTAAATATTTGGAATCTTATGAGCTTTCTCACGGATTTATACAATGGATATAATATGTGTTACGATCTTCGTTAAGACGAGAATTGAATCGTCAGAGCACTCCTGCATTATCCCTGCAAATTATAATTCACGACAGATTCACGAATATTAAAGCAGATAAGTTCGAGCTCGCTGCTAGTTTCTTAAGGATACTCTCTTCGAGCTTTCGTAATTCCCATGTTATTAACGTAAGTCGAAATTCCTCGCGAATTATGTCGAACTTTCTGTCTCAAAGTTTAACTAAACATGTCAACTTGCTTGTCCGGGAACTGTTAATAACATTACTTACGTGCGTTCGTGGGTGTGCAAAATGATAAAATTATAAGCAATTATCGGAATAATAGAAGTTACAAAATTGAAATTCCCCCATCAGTTTCTATGGCATAGAGATCTACGTTCGACACAACAATTACTCCTTATTTATGGCGGCGGTGCAGTGTACGACTTAACATTGCACAAAGATACCGAGATCGCATTCTCTCCATCCTGATAATAGTGCATAATTTCACGTGATAGTGGTGGTACGAGATAGTGTGCTGGATCCTCTTTGAAGTGCTACACAAGGGGCTGCAATTACCGTCTCGCGATACGCGACGTCGCTGCCAGTCCGCCTCGCGCGGATCGCGGATGAAAGGATGCGATTAACGCGGCGATTCGCCGTTACGGGACTGTGAAATTCGCGGAACGACGTAGCCTAGTCGCGGCAGCAATTCCGTAACGTACTTCTTTACGCGATATCGGAACGGCGCAAAAAATAGAGAAGCTAGATCGATCGTCCGCCTCGCGAGCGTTCGTGAAATCGGCCACGGGACTATCACCGGCTGGTGTCACGAAGCAATCAGTGTACCGCGAAGTGTACCATCCCTCTAAATTGCGGTGTGCTTTCTCTTTCTCTCTCTCTTTCTCTCCGCACGATAACGGCACTCGGCTGCCCGCCGATACACCAGTCCGCAAAAAGCCTCGCAAACGTACAATTATGTCTGCAGTCTAATTGGAAACAATGCCATTGTGTACGATTGGAGAAAGTTTAGAAGTTTTAGAAGAGAACGTTACCGCAACAAACTTTATTGCGTAGTCACCGAATGCATCTTTGGACATTTTTTCTACCCATCAAATGGAACATCTTGAAATAACGCAACAGACGACGCTTGTTTCAGTCTCAATTATATGATCAGCGCGTAATGACAGTCTGAGCTGTAAGCGAAAAGGACTCTACGCATCTGGGATTTATTTCACGTGTGGAATTTTTGAAAATTCGCCAACCACTCTCCTTCACAAACTCAGCATTTCGCAACATACATATCGTCGCCGAGTTTACTGCAATTCTCACGCGGACACGCGCTGCGAGAGGTACCGGTTCGGCTCCGCGGTACGATGTTACGTACCTTCTACGGTGAATTTCGCGGTACTTCAAATGGCAGTTTCCGCCGCAGAGTAATAGTTTCGCAGCTTGCCGCAGCCACGGATTGTTTCTGCTCCGCTGGCGCGGCGCGTTTCGCTAATTTGCTTCGATAATGCTCGCTGACAGAACTCGCTGTAAAACCGAAACTGGGTTCCTGAATTTAAGGCCGCGCGACAAATCGCAGCGGTAAACAACGTCCCTTGTTCATAGTTACAAGAGACTGACATTGTGCGATCGATATTGTAAAAGTGTATTCAAACATAGCGCAATGCAATAGTAATTATTATTAGACTGCTTCTCGGTGTACTTGAGCGCACGCTTTGAAGAAATCGACAAAAGCTAATTTCCTGTCAAGATAATGACGATTTATCGGAAAAAAAGCCATTGTATCTTTATTTTATGTTTCTGATTGCAGCGATTATTAATGAGTCATGCACGAGTCTACACGTGTCGTATCTGAGGATCGATAATTAGCGCGAACGAAGTTACGCTAAAAAGTTATCGTCTCCGTTTACCGATCGCAATCTCCACATCGGCAACACGACGAAAACACCGAACCCGTACTTATTTCCACGTTCCACGCTGCGTTGCGTGAGCAAACGAAGAGGCGAGGGCACATCTCTTCCACGAATCTCTTTTTCGGGAATTCGTCGGTCGCGCGTAAATCCAGCGTGCAATCCACGGTGGAGCAATAATCTGCGTCTTCGAGGAAACCGGAGCCGCGGGAAACCGTGCACGGCCGCGTATGAGGGTAACCGGCATCGACGTCGAAGGACACCGCGAGAAGTTATCCTTTGCGTGGCGAATCGCGTTACAACGCTCCGCGGGACCGGGGTCGGGAACGGGGCACCTTGGCGCGCTTCACGTCGGAAGAAATGCATCGAGCGCAGCTCCGAGAGGCGCGCTCGTGACTCGAAGAACTCGGATGCTGGTCGGACGGGAATTCAAGAAGTTCGTCGCGCGCGTCAAGGAGAATCCATACGGAGCGCGGCATGCGATAATGCGGCTCGACGTTGTGCAGCCGTCGGAGCGAATCCGCGACATGGTGCTGCGGCGAGCGGGAGAGGATTAGAGATTGCAAAATCGATGCAATTGACAATTGTACCGTCGATGTCGCGCGGCATTGACTGCCGGAGAGATGTTTCTCGGTTAATGCCGGCTGCCTGACACGGAATTGCACCGCGTCGATCACGCTGCGTGACCTGGAATCGTCCGCATACGCCGCAGCGGTCGTTTATTGAGGATAATAACGGCTCCTTCAACAGATATAGGAGATACGTAAGTAAGGTGCGTTCGTAAATAGTCAATGCGTACTTCTCACATATATATGAGATTGCCAGATTCCAAATTTCTTTTTCTATATATTATTGCGTGTTTTACATGTAAAAAGTTTTCTCTGAATACTGATTATTAATAATTTACTTTATAATTATCATATCTCTAATATATAATTTAGCTATTTAGCGCACATAAACATTCTTCTATCATCAATTAATAATTTATTATTCAATACGTAAATTCTATTATTAATTTATTTCTACTTTTCATAAAAAAGTTCCTGAGTCATGCAGGGTTATTGTAGCCTGTATAAGGAAAATTCTATTCACTCTATTCTGAGAAAACTGTAAAATAAACTGTATTTATATGTACTTTTCGAAATACGAAGATAGATGTTTCGGATATTTATCCGGTATGTTTATTCTGGATACACCGAACGACTATACGGGTTTGGGGTTCAACGTACACATAACCTACTCAGTTGCATTAACTTTAGGGATAGAATCGGCTTTGTGGTTAGTAGTCAGGAACTGCGGAGGATTTGAAGAGGAGGAGGAAGAGAACATTTAATCGTCCCGTTAAGGAAAGTGCGATAGTGTGTAGGAGGTGTTTATTTCAGTAATCAAAGCTTACGCAAGCGATGATGTAACGGTGCAGTAATAGATTTTTTTCTCTAACAGTGTCACCTTGAGATTAGTCTCTTCATCCGAAAGCGTTATTTAATTTTGTATGAAATTATGAGAGCAAGCAATAATAATATTCTTTTATAATTGATGGGTAATGCAATATTGGCCAATAAACAAATAAATAAAAAATAATATAAAATAATAAACATGATAAAAATAATACACACGTGATAAAAATAATGCAACCATCTCGCGATTCATTAAAAAAAATATACTGTTATTTAAATTAATTCGAATTATTTCATATATCCAATTTCTCTCTCCCTATATTTATGATATCCATTTTACCGTTCAAATATTCCGTATCACTGCGATATCGTATCATGTTGAAAATAAAAGCACGGTAGCTTCTGTTACAGTACAATAAAGATAGAGAAGTGGTAATTTTGCATTAATGAGTTAAATCCCTCGGAAGAGATAGCTGAGTGAACGTAACGATCGTGCTTGGAACAAATATACATGTATTTGCGCGTACGTGTGCGTATCCGTATTGTGCGATAAAAAGCGTATCACTCGCGTTGGACGATTCACGCGCTTCGCGCTATTATCAGCATGAATGAGTCTCGCAACACGAGTCCAACGTATTCGTTGCTATTAGTGTGCGTTATCTACGTGTGAATGCACTTGCTGCCGATCGTCCGTTAGCTTCAGGCGAGACAGAGAGAACGACGGAGGCGAGGAGCGGCCTATAACGAGCGTGTCCGGTTCCAAACCGAGTTCAAAGACATTCTTCCGATGCGAAGAATTAAACGTCATCTCGTTCTTGCATTTTAGTGCCTCGCTTTAGCTTTAGCGCACCGATGCATTCTGTCGATGCCCGATGCACTTGTGATTTGTGCTAGGGGACGATAATAATTCCTTACATTGTTTGCAAAATTGTATTTTTGTGCATCATTTATTTACCGAAAATTAAAAGTTAAAGTAATTTAATAGAAAAATTTGGCATATATATATATATGTTTATTTATAAATTATATCATTTAATATTCTAGATAATTAGCCATCTTTCATTATGTTAAATAATTAAAATAATTCAATAGTTCTGTCGGTACACGGTAATCAAAAAGAATTGCCGCTCGAAAAAAAACTCAACGTAAAAAATAAAAAAAAAATAAAGGCGAAAGCACTATAAACTCCATTTTCACACGTGGTAATAACGAGCAAACGTAAATTAACCGTGTGTGGAAAAAAGCAAGATGTTTAGCTTTCCAGTGCGGCTCGTGACATTTGTTTGTCGTATGGTTTACTTGTCGAAAAAGTGAGTCTCTTCTGGCAGATTTCGTATGTCGCGGGGATAGGAGAAAAAATAAGAGAGAGAGAGAGAGAGGGAGAGTATGGCGAGAACAAAAGAATGGGAGGGAGAAGGGAGGAACTGGGTTTCAGAGGGGTCGCATATGCAACCCAGAGCGAAGCGACCTACGCGGAGAATGTTAAGATGAGCAAAAAGGTTGCAAAGTAGGTACTTCTCGGAGCCGCCCGCGTCGTAAGACAACTCTGTCTGAAATCAGAACTTTTAAAGCTTATGAAGCGCGTATACAATATATGTATTACCATAAAATAATAATAATAATCGGCAATGGCAAACCACCGAGAGTATGTCTTGCCACGAAAACTTCTCTAAAAATTGCCGTTCGAAATCGGCGTTAAACTGTAAGTTCCATATACAATGTGTATAATCCAAGTGCGCAACACATGTATATGAAGAGAAGTCACCATGCTCGGGCACGAGTAATAGGACTGAGTATTAATAATTGTAATACCATAACATATAAGCGTATAATTTTCCTAATATTTTATGTTAGTTCTTATCTAATAAACAACCATAAAAATTATTTTATTTTCTAATAATTGTTACTGTATTTTTTTATATAAACAATACTTTTAGAATTTTAAAATAAATTTTTTCAAACCACAAATATTGTGTTGATTTATTTAAACTAAACTTCTACATTATGGACATTATTATTATGTTTATCTATGTATAGAAAAGTTATGAAATTGTGTATTCTTTCATGAGTAAATACGGCGAGTCCTTCGAAAAACTTTTGAGTGCGTAGACCCCACGTAGTTGCGTTCGGGTTATCCACCCTGAAGGCAAATCTGTCAAAGACGTGAATAGCCCAACGGTTTAGAAGAAAGGAAGAGGCGAGAGGATTGTGAAAGAGGGCCGCGCGGTTTCAGAGACCATTCGCCGGAAGGGACCGGTATACACTACCTAGAAGAATGGTTAGCAAAGACGCTAGTGGTCGGACAAAATCGATATATCGTTGTCGAAGAAATTATATCTAGAAGAAAGAAGCATGTAAGGTAGCTCGCGCGTCTCTTGAGCAACTAAGAATCATTCAACGATATGATCTTGATAAGATTCTCAACATCTGATTTTTGAGTCTGCTAGAAAATTTGCGATTTTCAACTTGATACTACTTTAGTACTGTCACGTTAAAAATATGCAAACAAACTTCACAAGAAATACGTTAAGTTGTAGGCTAAGAGATACAATGAACTTTACAGTTGAGCAAACTTGCAAAGCTATTTTCACACAAATTTCTATTTTTGAATCGCAGCTAAAGATAGACGGTGGACTTTCTCTCTCTCATTATCTTTAGAAAATTGCGTGGAAAACTCAAACTGAAGCAGTCTCGAGCTTGATTTATTTCGTTGCCTACGGCGCGTCTCGTATTATTTAATTCGAAAATAATAATCGTACCTAATGATGACATGCGCGATGTTAAAATCGAATATCGGCGAACGCCTCGGGGAATACGAGACGCGCGCTGCATAACAACTAATAGTAATACGAACGGCAGACACACAACGAATGGCGAATCTGAATTATGAGCGATACGAGATACGCGATTGGAAATCGCCGCGCGACAAGTAGTCGTCGGAATGACAAACGAACGGCGGCGAAGTCGAGTCGAGTCCAAGGCGAAGGTCTTCCCGCGCGGCTTCAAAAAGTCTCGGCCTGACCGCGCGGCACTATATCGACCAGATAATAGAGGGTCATTAATCTTCCTAAAGGATCGGTGCTCACCTACATATCGCCAGATAATGTTGCTGCTCGACGGCGCTTAATCACGTACGCATACCCGCGCGCGTGTATATGCTAAACGCACGTAGTGTCCGATCCTCGATAAGATTGCTCTGTCGTGCGCGCTACGAGACGTGCGGTACGTTTTATTACGGCGCTACCGCAGGAAACGACCGTGTCTTCTGGCCTCTACACGAGAAGTATCGTCGGTTGAACGAAGTAATTGACAAAACACCCGCGATTACGATTGAGTACCCTGAAAGCTGATTTCCGCGCATGTAAGTGTCACCGTCCGCACTAAAATGATTATTCCTTCTATGTTTGTTGTATTAAACCTTATTTTAAAATAAAATAAAATAAAACATAGATCAATAGTTAGAATATCAATATTTAAATAAAAGAACTATAAAATTTCGTCAGAGTATTTAGTTTCTCTTACATTAATAAGTAAATTAGTTTCTCTTACATTACAATAATTTAATTATTTGTTTCGCGCGTCAGTAAATGTTTCCGGCATGTTGGTAAAGCGCTCGATTAAATTGCAACAACTTGTCATGCTTGAGCGAATAATTTTCTCATTTTATCTTAATTTTGGTGTTTTCAGAATAAATTTCGTAGAAAATACAACACGAAAATGTATTTCGTTTACATGGACGTTCAATATATTTTATTACAACGATACTTAGTAAACAGTTAGTTGTCTCTGTTTTCGTTTTTTGGTCGTTATGCTCTTCCTATAATTAACATCATGAGAATTGAGAATATTCAAAACTTTCAAAATAGAAAATATTTCTCGGTAATATATCCTCCCAATAATGATCATAACATACAATTGATTAATCAAAAACAAATTTCTATATCAACTAAAAGAAGATACATTTTTAATCTATAAGTATACTGAGATTAATGGTAGGAAAATTTATACGTATTTTTGCACCTCTGTCTTGTGCATGTTATTTATTACTTTCAAAAGAGAACATTTAATAAAATTTACATTACAGGCAAGATAAAAGATAAAGTTTTGATATTTTGTATTAAATCTTTTAATTCTGCTGCATATTTTTCACTACCTATAACAATATCGTAAAACTGAAATTTTATGTTTTAGTTAGCTTACAATTAGTCTCACCAAATTAGAAGAAATTCGACGTAACGGTAATGCCAGCGTGAATAATCCGGATGATCTGTAAGTCAACCTTAGATGGGAAGAGATCAAAGATCTCGTCACCCGATTAATTGAAAGGTTAAAAGGTTTAAATAGCGTGCATAGTACCTCACGCTCGGCTAACGAGTCAGTTCCCGATGTACGTATTCGCTTTTCGCGATCGTAGGTCGATTACCATCCCTGGTTTTTACGCAATCGTGCCATGGTCGTTAAGCCCACGCGATCATTTTTGCATTCCATTGTCGTCTCTACCGACGATTCTAACACGCCGCAATTCATTCGGGAATGTCAATCGATGAATTATGTATATCCGCGGCACCGATTTGTCGCTGACATCTTGCGGTTCTTTATAGAGTTTAAGAATTGCGTTTTATGAAAATTGTGAGAGCAAATCTGCCAGAGGTGTTTTGCGAAACAGAATTTTCTCAGGCTATAACTGTCTCCGCATAACGTGCATAGTATATTACGAATGTTGTTATTGTACCGCAAAACAAAAAATATATAATGATACGTTATGTATGCACACATATATGTTAATATATATTATATAATATATATAATAAATAAACAAATTATCATATTTACACGTATACTTACATTTAAAATAATTCAAATTTCAGTCTAACAATAACTGTAGACGGAAGCTTATCTGTCACGAGATATGTCCTGCTAGAAAAAGTTACATGATATCTTGCTTCTGATGCCCGTATTCCCAACTGCTGCAAGTCGCAGAGAATAGCATTGCGCGACAGTAAATACTGAGGGCTCGCTAACGAGACAAAATTATGAGTTGAATCGCGACGAGGGCCTACGGACGATAAATCGCGATAATCACCGTAGATCGTATAGTCACCTTCGTGCATCGCGTGTTAGTGCGCGCGTAGAGGATTCGGGTCAGTGCATTCGCGGAAACACCTGAATTTTCCAGTACCGTTAATTACGTTAGCCAACACACCCATGGCTCGCGTTTCTGGAGGTACATACGGTAAACATTTTTATCGGGAAAACTGATATTCCCCAGAGCACAATCTTTACTCTCATTTGCATATTACGCAATGACATAATTAAAGCTTTTTAATAAAAACATTTTTGAGAGAGAAATTTATTCTGATAAATCTTTTTCTGTCGCGCTGCTTTGATTATCTGCGCTTCTATTTTTTTTTTACTTTATTTTTATAGCCATCGTTCTCTCTCGTTGCATATTTCATGCAACATGAAAAATAAATCTATTGTAATATTTTTCGAAGAGCGATACGAATTTGATAAAGTCACAGAGAAATCCTTTTTTATGTGAAAAACTTTTAGCACGTGCAAATGCAAACAAATTCAATTAGGATTAAATTAATCAAATCATTTTGACCAAACGCATGAAGACGTACGATTCTGCTGATTTTAAGGTCAATTTAACGCCGACGTCACCCATGCCACACATGATTCACGCATGTTTCGTTACGACGGACGCGGTGGGTTACATTAAACGTTATCCGCGATCTAAAAGTAGCATTCCAGCCAGGGGGTTTCAAAGCGTGTGGTTGTGTAGGAATCATTAGAGCGCCAGAAGAGCTCACGGTAGTACAGCAGCGAAGCCGGGACAGTTTAATTCAATTTACGCCGCTCCCGCACGCGCGGTCTTACTGCCTCATGTGAATTGCATCTATCCTCCCCGTGAGGTTTGACGATGTTCGCGATCCCGAGCGATTGTCGTTTAATATTTACTCTACGCGTTCGCCGATTTTAACGCATTGTTGAATTATATCGATCTATCGATGCACCGATGGCTATCGCGCAACGGATTGTAATTAAATGCAATAAAATCCACCTCCCTTTTTACACGTTCGCGAATATTATCCGATTACATAGCTGCCCCATACCCTTATCGCGCATCGTTTTATGAATATTTATCGCCAGGTCGACCTTTATTTTTGTCGGGCGATACATTGTCGCTGAAAACCGATTGTTTACCGAAAATACGCAATTTGCAATTGATCCGGTTGTTGTTTTCCGATAAGCAGTACGATTTCTCGTATTTTTATTCGCTCCATTATGCATTTAATAACCCATCATCTGTGAGCCAGGTTTTCGCAAATTAAATTTAAATCTTGTTAATTATACAAATTTACATTATCGACATGCGTTAACGCGATCTCATTAAAAAAAAAAAGTAAATCGTTGGTGGTCAAAATAAAAACGCATTTATGAAGAGTATAAATATTACTTTTGGAAATTTGTTTATACTTCACGAAGAATATGTAAAGCGGAAATCATGGAAAATTTGGATTTTTACTTCTTTCATAAAAAATTTATCTAAATTAATTAGCGCGAAACTAATCTATTTTAATTACTTCCTTTGTATATTTATATAAAAATTAAGATAAAAATCGCCTTAATCGATCTAGATAAGATATTAATATATAGATACCTATAGCTAAGCAACTTTGGTGGATCATCATATTTTATAAATTCAATTTTACATGAAATAGAAGCTACAAGCTTTAAATGAATATTTATATATTTTAACCAAGAAAGTATTACTTTCATTACTTACAAGTTTCTCAGCATCGATAATATTTTCCTAATAATTCACAGGGCGCTATAAACTTGCAAACTCACTTTACGAAGAAATAATGCTGTTTCGTATTACCCCCCAGTCTCTATGGGCATATTAAATTCCGTTAATCTCTCGAGTTTCTTAAAGATTCCATGCACGATTTCCTCAGAGCGAACACATTATAATATTTAATGTCCTCGAGCCCAGGAACCGAATTAATTCAAACCGGATACCGGTCAGCTACCGGAAATTCTACGAACGATAGAACGTGCCTCCAATGTCGGTAAATGACGGTGGCGTCGGATCGGCGCAATCGTTGTGGAAGCGCGCCTTCTGCTATTTATCGCCGATCGGCGAGATTTCCAGTACGTGGTCGAGTTCGAAATAGCGAATTTTGCCGAGGAGAATTTTAATCCTAAACTTAACACTGTACCTCGTAAGATAACTCTGATTCTCGTATAGCCTAGACTCGTACTTTTTTCCATTTGCGGAATTAAGTGTCGTTAAAGTGTTCTCAAGCTTTACGAAAATTATATTTACCGGGCCTTTTCCAATCTATTATTATGATCTCGTATCTTTGTCAATTCACTGGAAAAACGATAGTCTGTGCTGGCCTTTGCAAATTAGTTAAAATGGCGCATAATGTGCATGTGGAGTTCAAGCGGAAACGTAGCCGCGGCGGTATCATTTAGCCGATTTAGCGGAGCACGCACGTAAATTTCGTGCAGGTTGAAAAATTAATGAGGAGAATCGCGTTCTTCGTCGGTCGTTTCTACGAGTTTGAGACTTTATTACGTTGGATTTGTGGGAATAGTTCCTGCATATAAACCGTTCCTAATAGTGGATAATTTTTGGTACTCGCAAGCAATCGCATTGCAGGAGCAGTCTCTAAAATTTAACACGAAGTTAATTCCGTTATCAGGACTGATAAATTAGTCGACTAAATAGTCGATAAATTAGTCGACAAATTGCACTAGTTCCTCTCCACTCTCAGTGTCTGAATTTCTGAAATAATCGTGCATCTCTAAACAGTGATGCATTTTTTTCATAAACATCATAGTTGCCTATTAAAAAAATATATAATTTTTCATTAAATAATTATCTCAATAATTATTTCGAAATAAATCGATATTCTATGCTGCTATAGGAAAAAATATTTAACGTTTTGAAAAATTATCTCACGCAGAATATTTTTACACTTTTTTTTCATATAATTTCGAGAAATTCTATCAAACTCAAATTTATAAAATAATCTTTCGTTATTTCTTCATTTTTCTCAATCATTTTTTTGCCACAATTTTTATATTTTAAAAATATTTTTATTTCAGGATCTCTTCGTGTCACCAGTACCCCTTCCTACTCTCTTCGAGGAGACACGACTAAAATGCCGTTTTGCGATAAAAGATGAACGATGAAATAATCTCGAAGTCCAATGTCGGCAGCAACATTCCTTTCGCCGACGAGGATGCGATCAACGTGGACGGCGGCGTCTCTCGTCTGGTCACTTCATGGATCACGTCGAAGAGGTTGACGAACGCCGAGGAGGACACGTGTTCGCGGAACGTGCAGAACTTCACGACCTTCCGGGCTTCCGGTTTACCGGCGATTGCGAGGCGGGACTTGCCGACGTCTGACGACGGCAAGATGCTCAATCATCGGCGGGAGTCGTCTCAGCAACGTTACGCGCGTCAGTCGTCCGCTCCGAGGACAGACCAAAGCGAAGAGATCGAAGGCATTTCGTCGCGCTTCGAGAATGCGGTGATAAAATACCAGAAGCCAAAGCCACGTCCCAAGCGACAGATCAGCAGAGAGCGTCAGCAACAGCAGCAACAGAGCAATTGCTCGAGCAGCGACGAGAGCGTCGCGAGAAACAAGTCGAAGAGCACCAGCTCGATCGACACGCAGTCGGTGAACAATATTTTGGACGAGTACGAGGATCTGGACTATCGGAGATCGTCGGATCTCAGTGACGTCGGTAATATCAGCGTGACAAATTTCGAGGCGATAATGATGGATCAACAGAAACGGCAGCAGGTAAAGTCGAAGCAGATTAAGTCATTGTCCGGCGCAAAAATTCAGCCTAAATCTATTCCGACGAGGGAAAAGATTCAACCGGTGCTAAAGGTGAATCAGCAGACCCAAGTGAGACAGCGTTCGCGGGACAGACAGAGAGACTCTAACAAAGGACACCAGCAAGATACCTGTTGTGTTTCGCCGCCGGTTACAATGGACGAGATCGAGAGCGGTCGCTCGAAAATGCCTGAGATCTTGCTGCGCAAAGGAGAGGTCCAGAAAAGGGTAGACGAATGGTTAAATCAAGCGCACAGTCAAAACTTTCCGGTAACTCCACGTGAAAAACCATTGACGAGGTCCAATAGCAGCGCTGAGCAGAAGAGCCAGCGAAGGTACCGTGGTCAGGATTCACGGTCTCGATCATCCATCGACGAGGCGAGGGACAGATTGAACGGAGGAACCTCGTCGAGTTACGACGATCTGACTCGTGTGAATCGAAGATTAGAGCGTAGCAGGCCGGAGAAGGTTAACGTCGGTGTGAACACTAGTAGAGGCACGTATAAGGAATACTTGGCGGTGAGAAGTAAACAGCAGGATTATGGCTTCAACGCTCAGTTGTGTGCCGCGTCGTTAAGATCCGGAGATTCTAACCCGGCCTCCAGGATACCTCAGAGAGGACTTCTAGGTTCGAGCTTCAAGTCCAGACGTGTCGAAGCGGATCTTGAAGAGAAAACTACCGCCGCGAGTAGGATTATGAATTTGTCAAAGGCGATGAGCGAGTCTGATCACGGTAGGACGACCGTTAACAGCAATTCAAAGATGAACGAGGTGTCTACTGGTACGACGACGACGACGACGACGTCAATTATTTCCTGCAGAAGGCCGTCACTGAAGCGTTCTGGAAACAGCGCGGATGAAAACTGTGCGGCGGCGACGGCGGCGCACTCGCTTGTTAAGGAGGAGATGGACCCGACGTGCGAGCCAGGCCCCTCGAAGGGCCTATCGTTGCCCGGAGGCACTCTTAGTGACCAAGGCGAGCCGATCTCACCAAATAAGGACGGAGAAAGTAGGCGGCCGTCTGCTACGGCGAGCGGGCCGACGCTGCGACCCGCCGCCGCCGATAAAACGGTTGAGACGGCCTGTAAATCGACGGAAGTGTCGACAAGATGTGCCGCAAACTATTCGCGAGGTAGCTCGTCGAGGATCGCTTCGTCGGCGGAATCTGACCGGGTCGTCGCGATCGAATCGCCGCGACGCCGACTTCAGTTTTGCAGCGACATCCGAAGGGAGTTTAGATCAATCGATCAATCACGACAGGAGCAACCGATTTATGGCTCGGCTGTTAGCGCTCGTGTGCGGGCTCTTCAAGGTCAGGTGGAGTCGCGCACTCCGAGATCCAGGTGTCACCAAGTCGCAGGGGCGTCGATGGAAGTCAGAAGGCCCGCGGCCTTGCCGCGCAAGGATCTCGGTGTGTCTCCCTCGCGAGACGCTGGATCGCAGGATCGAACGAGGATGTCGATTGGCATACCTTCGTCGAGCTTCAAGCCAAACAATCGAGCTTACACCGCGATCAGTGATTCGCAGCAACAACCGAATGAGCAGAATGCCACAAGATCCAAGATTGCTGTCTGTGAAAATGTTCCGTCCGTTAGAGTTATGCGTTACGCCTCTCCCGATCACGTGGAAAAAATTTACGAACGTAGCTTGCAACCGCAGGTGATCCACACAGATAATCTCGAATCAATTCTTCGACCTTCCCTGCAAGCGTCGCCTTACGGTGAGAAGGTCGGCGTTTCTAAACTGGATCGAGAGTCAACTGTCAAGGAAACGTCGTCGACGTTCGAGGACGAGACGTTCGACAAGATTGGCAAGTCGCGACACGAACATCTCGAGACTATCGAGGAGGACGATCGGAAGAGCGAAGGCTCGGTCTGTAGGTATCCGGAGATCGGGTTGAAACAGTGTCTGAAGGTGCAGAAGAGTCTGCCGAATGGCAGGTCGAAAGAATCGGCGGACAAGCGGGACAAGAGGAAAGACAATCCGATTTATGTTCAGTGGAATCAACAGCAGCCGGTTGTTCTTAATGAGCCCGCGAAAACTTTCGCCACTTTTCAATCGGCGTCCTCTTGTCAGAGTAACGTTAAATCGAGTATCAGGTCTCGATCTCCGGAGATAAAAGAATCCCGAGGTCATGAAGAGATTAGACAAGATCCAGACGAGTCGACGACAATCCTTCAAGATCTCGTGGGTTACGAGGACGCGTCGCGAGAGGATCAGAACCAACTGACGATCCATTCGCGGGAGAACAGCAATTTGTCGACCGCTACAATTCCTGTGGATGAACTGGAGAGTCAGGCAGGCTCGAGATTGAAGACTGAGATTGAAGATCCTTCTCGAAATAAACTTCAGTTCGGTGAAAAGTTACAAGACCGCGTAGTTGAAGAGAACGCGGTAAAGAACGCCGACGAACGTGGTGCGGTGGTCAACGAAATTCTCGTTAAGAACCTGCAGTTCGAGCAGGATCTGCCGGAAAATCCGGTCGAGCAAACGAGATCGGATCACGTGATACAGCAGGTGAATTTTCACAATATTTTGTGCGACGATTACGAAAATGAGAAGTTGAAGAACAAGAAGATGTATATGACGAAGGAAGAAATGGAACACCGGAGGCTAATAGACATGTTGAAGAGAGGGAACTTCGAGACGCTGAAAACGGTGAGTGATACTTTATAATTTTTTATATTAAGCTAATAAATTACGAGAGTTTAATTATCTTCGTTACAAAGAAAAAATATGAATATATATAATACAAATTATGTGAGTAGTATAGTCTTTAATAAACCGTCAACAAAATAAATTGCTAAATTATACGATTAGTGAGTCATTTATCAATACATTATCAGCATCAATAATGAAGACAACATGCTGTAGATTAATAAATTTCCAGCCTTTAAGGAAATTTAATTATAATCAGATGTTCTACTAATATTCTTCTCCTTTCTTTAGTACTGAAACATATTTTATTTAAATAGAAATGCCTACAAAATATTTAAAGAAATATAACATTGTATTAAACTATGCATTGTATAAAGCATAATTTTTAAAAGTATTGTCAATTGTTTAAAAGTTTTGTCAATGCATGTATATATGTGTGTTGTATATATACATATATAATATAATACCATTTATTAAATATCTTAAAATGATTGATAGAATTTTAAAAGTTTATTACTTAATTAACAATATGATCTCTTATATCGTCTTGTAATCGACTTAAAAGAAATTAACTGCATCGTATGACTGACACTTAGGTATCTAAAGAGATTCACACATTAGTCGGAAAAAAATGAGATTGTCCGCGATCTCGATTTCGACAATCAGTGAATCGACATACGATGCACAGTTTGGTATCGTATCGTATCGATTGTTTTTGCCGCCACAAACTATCTCGTTTTAATCGCGATAAAACTTGCCGACAAGATCTGCCTGACAGTAACCCAATAATTACACATGCGCTGCTACACGATAGTAGCGTGCGACGAATCCGCGGCTCTTTCGGTAATTACAAGCTTAACGAATAATCGATGTTGTTCGTTTCGTTCGGCTCTTTATTCCGATCTGGTAACAAATACACCAAATTGCCATTAACAAAAACCCCAATGTTGTTTACGTATCACCGCGTTGTCAATGAATGATCAATTATTTAACAATGCGAATTTTAACTTCCTGAATTGCGGCAACGCGAACGGAATTAATCGAGCTAATTATGACATAATATAATGGAATAAATAGGGTATTATAATATCGTATAGAATCAAAACCAATAATCATTACAAAATTGTTGAAAAACAACAATTGGTCGTTTATAGTCACAACGCTATTATATCTCTAAAAATAATTATTCCTAATTATTTCTAATTATCTTTAAGATTAATTGGTCCTGAATATAATCATATAAGTGCACATAAAAATAAAATATTAAACTAAATAATACACACTGAAAATTCTGAAAATAAATATTCTTTAGTATAATCAAATGACACTTGATTCCAATCTAATCTTATCGCGTTAACGCGTTTCACAATTTATTTCAGCTTGTTTAATTATTCTCTTTATTCGTAGGTACTATTTATCGAAGTTATTATTCATTTATATGTATAAGCAGTTTATATAGAGATCAAAAGCAATTTTGTAAAGCATTTTACATCAAGCTACCTATGTTTATGTAAGTTGTGCATAAAAAATGCATCGCTAGTAAGGTTGAGTATACACATGCAAAGCATCGTCGGTGGAATAAACTGTAATTATATATGCCTCTTAGTAATGTATGTAGTTATCATAAAAGAGGGCTGTGATGTAATGTAATTATCAAGTTTCTGCGTTGTGGTCGCCGTAAACGTGATGTAATGGGGTTTGCGCGCGTGTCTCAGTATATCAAATTCTCCCAGAGGGAGTGATATTTCACTCCCGGCGGAATGTAGGGTGCAGAAGGATAATTCGCAGAATCTGACTTGAAATAGGGATACGCGAAAAGCACCGCCGATATTTCGCCATCGATAGCCGATATTTTGATATCGGTGGCACGTTATTTCATCGCGACGTCTGTTCGCTCGGTCGACGACACAAAAGACTATATTTCTACATCCGATTATTTCTTTTCATCCAAACTAGAATTCGCATCCCGTCACTCTCGCATCCCGTGATGGACTCGAGTCTCAATACACGACACAATAACTATAGTAAATGTTTAATTAAGATACTGCTAAATTATAAAGTAAATTATAAACTAAATTATAAAGTAAAATACCGTTAAACACCAGTTTGTTACAAGATATCTTTTGATTATGTCGATAACCCTTCTCCGCGTAGCCTAATATTTGTTAACAAAAGTCTTTGATTGAATTTAACATTGTTCTTTTCTTATTCTATTTTGCTTTCGTGAAGAGTCGAATGAACAAAGGCGTAAGAAAAGATTGAATTGGTCCTTATAAATTGATGTAATCTTTGATACTTACACATAAGCATCTAATTTACGCCATGTCAGCCATGGACCGCTGAGGTATGTAATGTTTTTCGCAATAAATTTAATTATTTAAATTAGATGCTTATGTGTAAGTATCAAATATTCCATCAATTTATGACCAAATCCTTGGTTAAAAGAGTGTTTTGACGATAAATCAAACCAAATCATGGTCGTATTGTCTTGATGATTATAATTGTCAGTATGGAGTCGATTAAAATCTTTTTAAAGCAACTGGCGTGAAACGGTTTTCAAAAATGTGGAAAAATCTTCTTCTGGTTCCAGATGCAAAAGACGACAGGATACATTCCACAATTTTTCAGCACACTGATGATTGTTTGCTTTCCGATATGTAGTGGTAACGTCGCAGTTTCTATATAAAAAAACATTAAAAAATAATAAGGAATTGTATGCGGAGTATAAAAATTGTATTATAAGGAATATAAAAATAATTTCGAATAGTACATAATATGTTCTTACGAATAATACAGTCCAGTCTCGTTGGCTGCTTTTTCAGCAACTGAACAATATATTGTTGTTTGTGCACCTTGTACTACATTTTTACAAAATAATCGCGTCCAGGTATTGTAACAAAAACTTGCACCTCGAAATATTGTACGATTACTATGCCGTGATATTTCGGTCGGAATCATACCAGGATGTAACGAGTATATGTTTATCCCGTGAACATTTGCTTCTAAAAATCAAAATTTTTGTGTAAAACTCTATCTTCAGCGTATTTTATCTTTATTATAATATAAAAAATCAATAACGATCGATCAATAATCGATTGGTAATTGTTAAGTATTATTTAGCAGGTACTACTAAATAAATGTAACCTATCTCAATCCATAATGTTACCTCCTTTGGCATACCTTTCAATCGACGAGCAAGTTCCTTGGTGAACAGAATGTTCGCTAATTTACTTTGTGCATAACTTTTAAGTGATGCATAAGATTTTTCCATATTAATATCATCGAAATCTATATCAGCTACTGTAACAGAATACTTCTGTTACAATTTTAATTTCAACAAAAACTGGACGTAAATAATAAACATTCTACTTTATTTTTAAAGCCATCAGAATATCATGCTTTACATACAAATATGTACAATAGATGAGACATTAACTATTCTGCAACTGGGAGAAGACGATTGCATTTTTGGCAGTAACAGAAGTGTCAAAAGAAAATGGCCAAGATGGTTAACTTGTAGTGTCGTCTCATTTCCATCCTCTGTCTTTTCGTATGGAGACGCAGCCACACCGGCATTATTTATGAGTATATGAATGGCTGCTTCGTTTGTTAGCAAGTTCTTAGCGCAATCTCTCACGCTCTTAAAACTACGTAGATCCAGAAAATAAATCGTAAGTTCGCCTACGTCATTTTTATAATCATCCTTTGTCATCCTAAAAGTAGCCAGCCATTGATTTACATATTACATCGTCATTTACATGCATCATGTCATCTACAACATGCGAAATAGTTTAATTAACCCTCAATTGCCCTCGTACGAGACGAAATATGAACGCTGAGTTCATATTTTATTTTTTTTAACAGCATAGATGTGGCATAAAAGTTGACTCTGAAACTTTCTAACTTTTTACTTACAACCTTCTGGATTTTATTTGTACGGTTGTTTTCCAAAATTTCGTTACGATAATTTTTAGATTAGACTTTGAAAGTGTTAGCACGCGATAGGTATATCTGATTGTGAGCGTAGCGCTCATGGCGAGAGCAAATACGTACAGTCGACGTATTGCCAAACCTAAGCTTTACTGTGGCAGATCGATGTATATGTCTCACCCTCTTGTTCTTACAAGAGTTACAAGACCATAGACGTATATAATAGACTGAACATTCTCATTGGAGAGCTTCAAGCAAGATTTGAAGGACAGAAGATATGCTTGCGGAGACGCTTTCCTTTTCTAATTGTGACAATTATATACGTCTATGTAGAAAACTGTGTTGACCTAACAATGAAAAAACTATGTGGCAACGCCGCACTAATGTGTGCATTAATATAACAATGTTACACATATAGGCGCAGCAATAAGGCACTCATATACGAGAGCACAAAAGTTCGTTTGCTGAACAAGGGCAATAAAGAATTAATATAAATATAGTTTCATAAGAATATGGAAATAATAAATCAAAGCAAATATAATAATTAATTTAATGGTTTCTTATGATACAAGTTTATTATTTATTATATATTTACCATGAAGGTGGATTGCTCTTTATATCTTCAACAGCTTTATTTGTCTTTTCCATATTTCTACAAGCCAGAATTACTCTAGCGCCTAAATGCACATGTTATTAATATAAATGTGTTTAAGAGAATATTTTTTATTTATAGAGTTCTAAAAAAGCTTTTTATAGAATTCTAAATGACGCAAAGATAACCGAAAAAGAGCCTTTCTCTTATACATACTATATTATCATATGATTATATAAGAATGACATGTGGCACATCGTCTTTTGATAAATAATAAATTTATATTTCATTAATGATATGTAATATGTACTAAAATTTCAAATGTTAGAGTAACTTAAATTAGCATTTCAGTAAAATTACCTCTCGCGTATAAGTCTCTGGCAGTCTCCTTGCCGATACCACTACTTGCTCCCGTTATCACAACAGTTTTGCCGTCAAGACGTGCTTTACTCGTACACATTTTATTGAAAAACCACAT